TGAAAAACAATCACACACGCGAGAAAAGGTGAACTCAACATCCAGAAGTCGCACAACAAAAAGGCCTCAAATCTTCCTACAACTGCTCAGCCCTTCTACGCTCACGAGGCGACTTTCTGAAACACCGCCATACTTTTACAGCTGCATTTATCCCTCCAGCTACTGCAAGTCCACGTTTACCCAGGTCAAAGAGGCGCCTCTTTATGGCCAAGTGACGCCATGTAACGCAGTCACGTGCCGAGTGATCTGAAAGTTCTGAAGTACTTCAGACAAAACATTTTAAAACACTGCTCATTTTAGTCTGTGCCTCCAGATTTAACTGCTAAACTGCCTAAGATTATAAAAGCAGCAGAGGAAAGGTTGCTCACTCAGAAGGAGGTGGATTCGTAGGCTCCTACCTTGTTGGAAGGCTTCATAGCTACGGAAATGACGGGATCAGGGATGTGAATTGATTCCTGCAACGACCATAAAGGAAGAGATCAGACAATCGAGCTCCACCACCCCTGGTGAGGTAACTTCTCCAGGAAAGCCTGGTCACAAGAACTCAGGGTGACAGACAGGGCTGGTTTACGTATCTACCTCGTAGCTAACACCACGCAAAACAGAATTCCCCAACTCCCCTGACAATTACTGCGAGGCTCTGGTGTAACGCGCGCCCTACAGCCCACCACAGCTTTTCCAAGGCTGCTCCCTAGCTGCAGGACAGGACCTGGATTTCACACTCCTTAGAAATCTCTGCTTCCCACCAGAGTTTGTAAATATATATATATCAATAAAACTGATGTATTTAAATACATATACCAATACATAGCTCAATACTTTTGGGTAACAGCATCCACTTCTGACAGCGCGGAGCAGTTCGCTAACACTGAACTAATATTTGATGCCAAGTGTAGCAAACCGGGGTCTGTCTCTCTTGCACGTACCCTACTTCTACACATTCAGGCTCCCGGAGGTGTAACAAATAATCACAAAAAAATATTTGTGGTTGCAAACGAAAAAATGTCTCAGCTGAACAAATGATTACAAACATTTACAACAAACCCCTGGTGAATTCCAAAGCACGAGGCACACGGACAAACAGGCGTGCTCACCATGGAAATGTCAGTGCTGGTTTTATCCGTGAACGTGTCCCCGCTAGCACAATCGATTCCAAACAGCGCACATATGTCTCCTGCATAAACTTCATTAACATCCTTAAGAAAGAAAAGTTTATTAACGAAATACCACTGAAACACACGTTATAAACTACACCTCGTTTTAAGAGGATCTATAAATACTGTGTTGAAAAGCTTGAAGTCAAGCTCCTTTGAAAATTCCAGCTTTGATAAGATGCTCTGTAAATCTTCTCCCTCTTTATTCAAAGCCCAAAAAGGAGACCCCAGCCTGGATGCTAACTTACCCTAGTTCACGGACGCAAAGCAAACAACATGCCATGTTCCGCGCAATCCTGACCCCGCTACAGAGTTCAGGAATCTTAAACCGAAAAGCGCAGGATTTGCAGCAGTCTGAGAATCAATTTTTAGTTTAAGCATCGTCTTCGGTGCAACCACACGGGTGAAAGCTTTTTTGCGTACTTTGCCAACCCTGTTCCCCCTCTCCCAGCAGCACGGAACGGGGGGGGATAACGCCGCAGCTGGCTTTCTTTAGCTATCACCTCAAAGCCATTTTATAATCTTTTTGCACAAAGATTCTCCCATTTCAGTGGAAATAATACACCAGCGAGCACTGCCGTTTCTTGCAGAGCTCTGCCAAGTGCCCCAGGCAAGTATGAATTAACGGAAGCAGAAATCCGGCATATCACAGTGCTCAGAGGCAGCCGAAAAGCGAGAGTGAGAGGGGCCCGAAGGTGCAACCCGCGTCGACTGCGCCTCTCGCACTCACCTCCATGTTGTCCGAATGCATACGGACCAGCCTCTGCACACGCACCCGCTTCCCAGTCCGGGTGTTATAGATATAATCAGATTTCTTCAGCATCCCCTGATAAACTCGAATATACGTTAATTGCCCAAAACGGCCAGCCTGGAATCAAAATTGATTAAAAATCAGATATAACCATTCTGGGAGTCAAGACCACGGCTACTCAAAGCACCACCTGCACCTGAACGTTTCTGGTTCGAATTTACACACTAGGGGGGTCAATTAAAACTTTTTTTAACATAGTCCCAGTTTTCATTTGGCTCCGGAACGGAACTGGGTGGGCATCTCCTGGCAATTTTCTTTACTCCACCAACTGCACCGCTCCTACGCCCTCCCAACGGAGGCACAGGTTAACGAGCAATTCGGCCGAAACCCCAGCTCTGCTGCTCTCTAGGTAGCAAACAACTCGCTTGGTTAAGACTGTGGATGTTTTCACCTCTGTTCCATTGTTTTCAACTTCAAACAAAACCAGGATTTTTCACTGAAAGTATTTGAAATAAGCCCACAAAACCCACAAACATTCAGGTTTTAACAAAGGAAAAAATCACGACGTATTTGAGGCACATAATCCATTTTAAAACTTCCAAACTGGCAGCGTTTGATACACTGGTGGATTTTATGGTTGAAACCAGTTTTTTTTAAAAGAAGTGGTATCTAATTTGAACGTAAACATCAACTGATTTTAAAATCGTACGTTTTCACAGTGTCATCTGTTTGGACTTGCTCTGTTTTCTACTCAAACCAGAAATGAAGAATCTGGATGCCTGCCTTTCTCCGTCAGGGTTAACACCGCGCAAGTTCAGCTTTCGGCCTGCTGAGGTCCGATACTGGTGGCGTGGGACTCGCAAGCAATCAAGTCAGCTAGGTGATGCTCTGGGCATCCCTTCTCTAGAAACTTTCAGGTTTACCATATACACAGGAACCACGTAACAAAGCCACCACGGGCACAAAGGGTGCAAACAGGAAGCTTTAAACCTGTGCTTTTCCCAGGCATCGAGGACAAGCCACCGACAGCTCGGGGCGAGCAGGACTGGCGTACGCCAACAGCTCTTGCAGGAAATGCCCTGCTTCTCTACGGGTTTTGCTGCATTAGAAAGGAAACCAGTAACAGCTTACCTCCAGTTTAAAAGCAAGGCCTATAAAAGGTTGGGTGTTGTCTCGAGCAGAGTTCAATAGGAATTTCGTTGTGTCCTCAGAATCCCTTAAAAACAGAGACGGAGAGGGAGTTTATGTCATGAAGCAAACAAGGCAGCCTCCTCTAAACATGACCCCAACCTCAGAAAGCCCCAAGGGCCTTCAGTTTCACAGGTTTGTAACTGAGACTTGAAGATGCTCACATACGTAGGTCCCACAGGCTCAGAAACGATCTTGGAGAACTGCAGCAGATCCCCAAAAGGAGGTCGAAACTATGACAAGTATCACTAGTCCTTCACATCACCCAACGATTTTGCCATGAAAGCAATTAATCACAGACACAACTCATGAGCAAGCCCAGTTTTGGAAGCGAAGAAAGACATTGCAGTAGTTCAGGAGCCACGCGAGAAGTTTTGGTCTGTCTCAGCAAGCAGACATTAGGGGCAGCGAGAGGCACAGCAGCAGGGAGGAGGCACAGACAGGTAACCGCTGGGAGAAAAAGTCATCAACTGTGCTTATCAGCATCACCTCTGTTTAACTACGATTATATTGTCTGAAGAATTCAAGCACGTCAAGACACCTGATGGCCACCCCTAAGCCATGACTGGAACGTCAAGGGCGATTTACTGCCTCTAATGTTGGGTTTCATCCTTTTCAATGGTGAAAGCACATCAACAAACACGTCCAAAGAAAACATATTTCAGCTGGGTGCTCTCCTCTACTGCAGGCATGGTTTTAAGGGTTGCCATTAATTGCTGAAGAACTGTCTCATCAGACAGTAATTTTTCAAATTTAACACTTAACGTGTGTTAGTAATACCAGAATAAACAGTAACTCTCAAACGAGATGAGCTTTCTTCGTTCTGGAAGTCTGTGCAAAACTACGATGGCATTATTTAATACAAATAGTAAACGAGGGTGTATTTCCTTAGTAACGTTTCCTGCTAAATCCTACACCGCGTTGAAACCCAATTCCAGGACCACTCCGTATGCTCGGGGGTGTACTTACCCCTGGTTAAGAATGGCATAGTTCTCCACCTCGGAAGGATTGGGGAGGTATTCCAGGACGGCATCCAGCAACGGCTGCACTCCTTTGTTCTTTAAAGCACTTCCCACCAGCACTGGGGTGAAGGCCTTCTTCAGGGTTGCTCTTCTGATTGCAAGCTGAAAAATACCAGTGTGTCACTCTTGTCCCCCCAACCACCTCAGGAGTTCGCAGCAGTACCAGCAACACAGCAGTCTAGATTCTCTCTCTCTCCCTTTGCTGGTCAGCCCTACTCCTGGAGTAAAGCAGCCGCTCCCACACAGTCTCCTGTACAACCCCCTACACAAGAGCTTCCCATAAAACTTGCTCACCACAATTCTAGAGAAGCGTCAAGATTTTTTTTTCCCCCCCCTTCATCTTAAATTCAACTTAAAAACGAAAATGCTTAAGATAAGTATAATAAGCCCAAAATACTAAGAAAAAGTTTCTTGATTCTCTGCTGGTGGTCAGGATGCTTCAATTCTGGTTTAGAGGTCTCATTCCCCCTGCTTAGTTACGTGGGGAAACAATACATGTTTAAATTTGTCAAAGTTAAGATGAGATGCTTCAGTACCTTTAAACTATGGAAGATTCCTCTGAAAGATGAAGTTAGGTGGTAAGGGATACTTGGCTACGTGCCACACTCAACGAATCATCATTTTTTGATGAAGGATGTTTGAAAAACACGACAGAAGGACCTATTCGCATTCACCTACAGACCTCCTGAAGTCGCACCGCCTTGGGCACCTTTTCCAGGGTGTCCCAGCAAACGGGCCAAGACGAACTAACCGCAGGGTCACCTCACGCTTCCTCCGCACCTTCCGCCCAAGCACAACTGAGCACCGACGGGTTCCCTAACACTGATCGTAGCTGTCTTCCAGAAAGGTGGACAGAAGCTGCCTGCCCCCCTCCCCACCCTGCAGCTAATTACTGGCGCCAAGATTGCCACCTCGGCCCCACCTCTCCCTGCCACTAGAGGATGCCACCTCCCCGCGCTCACCGAGGCCCTCACTCCAGCCCAAAGCAGCTCCTGTCTCCTTTGATAAGCTAAAATAAATGGATTCTCCTTGATGGAGCAAGATAGTTAAACACATCGTCTCATCTGGGAGTTCTTCAGAGTACCCAAAGACAGACAGTTACGCTGTCTTCATAACCAACAGAGAGAACAGGGGTTCCTTAAATTTGGTGATGTAACAACTTCACAAAAATAATACAAGGAAAAAAAAATCCCCCATCAACAATCCTGCTCATCTGGCCCATGGCTGTTCTCATCTACCAGAGCCCTGGAAACATGGCTGTGCTGGTGCCCGGTGTTTTTATTTGGCCACGTGTTTTCAGACGAAGCAACGCAATTGCAATTTATCCTCATCAACAATTACCTTGGGGGAAAAAAGTGATTTTATTTTCACATAAAGACGATTGTCACCGACTGCCCCACGGAGCACCCGGGGCACATCAGCTCCTTGAGGGCAGCATTACGGACAGCAGCAAAGGAGGTGATCTTTAAGCAGCTGATCCTCAGCAAACATCATACGCTGCGACCGTGGTCTGCAGGAGCGATGCTTTAGCATTGTTTCCACAAAAAGGCAGTTTCAGTGGAAACTTGGCTGCTGGCCACTGAAAGAAAATCCATCTTCAGGGACATATTAGTACAAATTAACCTGCATCTGCAATACTATAGCCATTAGAGCTGTAATTAATTGCCTTTCAGAAGTGGGAAGCAGAGGCATGCTGAATAGACAAATTCGTCTTGGTAACAGATTTCCCTCCCAGCAGGAGCTATCAAAAGCAGCCTCCTGCTAAAAATCCCTCACCTCTTACAGCACCACAGTGTGTAATTCACGTCGGTGCCATTCCCTCTGCCAGGTGAGGGACAGATCCTCGCAGGTCTCCAAAATTGCTGTTACAGTTCTGTCTTTAGCAAAGCGGGAAGGGCTGCTTTGTAACAGGAAAGGCTTCATAAAATTACCTTTAATTACTGGAATAACTAAACGCCTGGTTACCAACAAGATACACATTTGCTTGGTACTTTCAAAAAAAACTCCTGTGCTTTTGTCTCGAGCCAAGCTGGGATATACAGATTCCCGCACACTCTTCCTAGAGACACCGGTGAATCACTCAGGCAGCCGAACCAATTTAAAAACCAAAACGCCTCCAAACCCAAGGTCTGTAACAAAGCTAAAAGCCATCAAAATCGAGGGGTCAGGAAGATTCAAACAGATAAACCCTAAGGGAACTCGCCAGATGCATCAGCTCTGAGGGACGGCCGGTCCTCTATATCCCAACAGGAAAGCGGGCGCGGCAAGCCCCGACTGGGAAAGGACCACTGCACGGAGGCACCTGGGCAGGGCTAGCGGGCCAAATCCTTCCAAGAGGACTTAAATATCAAAGCTATGTTTAAAGGAGCAACCTCGGTGACCACGTCTGACTCGAACTCAGCCGGCCTAGCAGGCTGCACCCAGAGAAACAGCTCCTCTTATAACACCCACGTCTCAGTTCAGTGTGTTGTCTTCAGCTACCAACTGAAGCGCCCAGCTGCAGGCACAGAAAAGCAGGAGGTGGTAGCAAGTGCCAGGTCAGGCAAACTCCAGCCCCCAGGGAGACTCCGTGCAACACCACTGCTCAAAGACAAGCTGTTCCAGCTCCCACAGCAGCTCTCTTCAGAAAAGCAGCCTGCCCACAAGGCTTCTCCCACTGCGACGGGCTCTTCAGCCCTCGCTTTTTTATTTAAAACACAGAAAGCAACCGGTTTCCTGTAGCAGTTTCATGTCTGACTAATTAATAGCTATTAACAGCAGGCACTAGAAGACTACTGCTCAAGGGAACTCTCAACACCAGCAAGAGGTGCTGGCAAAACAGCACAACTCCTCGCACCAAGCGTGCATTAAGGGCAGAACCCAACCACGCCGAGATCAGGCCTGCCAACCACACGGCCCTGTGTTGTTCCCGTCCTCTACCGCCGGCCAAGACAGGCAGCCCAGCAGACTGCTGCGTGTCAACAGCTCCACGTCCCTGTCTTGAGTCCCACACCCAGCCCACGGGCTGCGCTGTACAGGCAAACCAGCCCAGCGCTGCTCCGAGGGGACAAGTCCTCAGATCACCCCTACGCTCCCGCACAGCAGGAGCGGGTCCACGTGTGATCACCCCTACGCTCCCGCGCAGCAGGAGCGGGTCCACGTGTGGCACGGGCTCCAGCGCTCACGCCAGGAGAGCCGAGCTTTCGCACCTCTCCTGCCTAAAGCCAACCCCACAGCAACTCAGGAGGGGTCACTAGCCAACCACGAACCTTAACGGGACTGCCACCCCCCCTAACGAGCTGCTACAGCACGCGTGGATTGCCAGCGACGACACGAAACGCCCCAACAGGAGGAACACACGCTCGCCTGCTGTCCGGCCTCCACGGCGCCGCACACGCGGCTCTCACCCCGGAGTAAACCGGGGCAGGACTTGCACACAAGACTGCACAACTGCAGCTGACCTCCCGAGGCCTCCCTACCACCGCCTGTCACGTCAACGGGCACTGGAAGCAACAGCCACACCAAACTGTCAGGAGAACAAGTCATTTTCAGTCCACAGCCATCTGATCGCTTCTGCGAGCATCCTCCTGTGTGGCACACCTGCCATTTGATTTCTGATGTGTTTCGTAAAATAAATCATGTATCAATTTTTTTTCCTCTTTCAAGAATTGCAATTCTCTTTTTTTTTTTTTTTTCTTTTCTCTCCAAAATTGTATTTTGACCTGGATTCTTTTCCTCTGGACCCTCCAAGTCGAGTCATTCCAGTTCCCTTCCAGTGTACTGCTCCTGTCACTTCAGGTGAACACACAAACCACGGCAGGATTTCCTAGGCACAAAGACTTGCTGTGGGACGACAGCACAACTGACTCGCTGTGGGACACGGAGCAAGCCATGGCCGCCAAGCTGTACCACGGGCAAGGCAGCAGAATGCCCAAACCAGCCAGATGCACCTTTGAGCCACTGGCTGGTCCCGAAAGGGCACACACAAGCCCAGACTTCCCAATGCAAATCAAAAAAAACAATCTGGAATGGGCTGCCAACAGGGAACGGAGCAGGAGTGCACTGTGGGAGGTGACACTCGTACCAGAGAACTCAAGCAAACCAAATTTCTTCAAGCCTTCAAGAAGTTTTTATTGGGGGATGAGCAGGGGGAGGGGGGGACAGGAAAAAGCAAGGTCACAGCGCTACAGGAAGAAGAACCACCATCAAGTTACCTTTAACTCAGCGGCTGTAGGAATCTTTTCTTCCAAAAACAGCTCCCCAAGTTGATCATCCGAGTTAGCAACACATTCGATCAACTCCCGACGTCTCTCTGCAGCCTCAGCTCTGAACTCAGCCGGAATTTCCTCGTAGCGAAGAGTCTGGCTGCAGGACACACAGACAACGCGAATCAGCCTCTCAGTCGCTGATCGCCAGGACGACCAACCTGGCCAAGAAGGATCCACCACCCACACGGCTACTGAAGAGAAATCACAGGAGAGTATCGACACGTTGCCTTTGACGCTCTAGCGGGAGAGTGTTTCTCCCCGCTCATGGCAGGGGTGGATGCAGGACAACCTGTTCCACCACCTCACCCACACCTGACCTTCACCTCAGCGAGCCCACGCCAAGCGGACGCTGTCAGTCCCCACTAGGAAGCAAGTCTCCTTGTCTCAGGGTGGCAAGCGTGGCCGCCAGCCCTTCACACCGCTGCCCTTAGCCAACAGTCGGCGCCGCAGCCACCCGTCACTCACCCTGGCCCTGCAGAATCGTTTCGCTGTAACTTGGGAGAGCTGAAGGGCGACACCTCAGCCCTAGCACAGGCCACATCCCTAACTTCCCACAGAGAGGCTCTTCCATCTCCAAAGAGAAGCCACAGGGAGCTCCTCACACAAAGACTAGCTCCAGCTAAGAAATAAGCAAGTTTCAAAACTTACCCGAGCACACCATCAAAATATATCGCTTTTTCTTCAATCAGATCTATAACTCCTTTAAAGTTTCCCTCCAGCCCGATCGGGATCTGAACAAAAGCTGCATTGTGTTTTAACTTGGATCTGAAAAAGTGAGCAAACACAAACTACTGCAAGGAAAAAGTAGTTTCTATATCCGTCCTCCCGATGGTCTTGGAACCAACATCCCGCTCCTACAAAATCATCATGTTTTATTCTGCAGACAGTGCCAAAAATCTACCAATCCTGACAAAAAAGTCGCATTTTAAGCTGAGTGACTGCCAGCCCTCTATGTCCCAACAAGTACAGGGAGCAACTTGCATGGGAAAGACAAGCTGGTTTCAGATTAATTACTTGATTATGGGAGTTGCTTCTCCCTTAATGCATATTAATGCACGTATCTCACAGCTCAAACAAGGCACAGAAAGACTGCAGGCAGGAGCAAGCAGGACTTCTGGTATCTGAACTAGAAACTGCCCAGCCCTGTGTCATCCCCCTGCTGTAAGCCACGGCACGTTTGCTGTCAGGATCTAGGAAAAACGAAAAGGCTGTTTTCAAAGTGGCTTCAAATAGAGTTCCGTCAACAAAATAAATACCAAACCCCCAACTCTCGGTCACCGCAAGCCTGGGCTGACGCTCACGTTTGTTTTTCTTGAGAAAATGGAGACCCGTTATAGGTCAGATTAAGATGTAACCTCAAGTCAGGTGTTATCCCCCAAAACTGCGATTACAGACCCCACAAAAGAACGTTTTTCAATATTCTCAGCATCAACCTGCTCCAGGAACAGGTCAGAGTTATTTCGCAAATAATTTTAAACGACAAATACCTCAACTGCTGCACTGCTCTGGCTGGGCTAGAGCCCAGTCTGTCCAGTTTATTGATGAACGTCAAAAACGGCACGCTGTAACGTTTCATCTGCCTGTTCACCGTTATGGTCTGGCACTGAACTCCTCCAACAGCACAGAGGACCAGAATAGCTCCATCGAGAACTCGCAAAGATCTCTCCACTTCAATCGTGAAGTCCACGTGTCCTGGAAAACAAAACCCCCCGTTCTTCACAGACGATCAAAGGAGAATCGTTTCCTCACAGCCGCAGAAAAGAGCAACAGCCAACAGCACCGCCTCCAGCTCTACAGAAAGAGCCCCGTCACCTCAACCGGAGCGACTGATGAACACAGACGGCACCAGGCACCACGTTCCTTGCGCCCACGAAGGACCAGCAGCGGTGACGCGGTCAGGACCGTCCTTACCTGGGGTGTCTATGATGTTGATGTTGGTGTCTTTCCACAGGGTGTAGGTCGCCGCAGACTGAATCGTGATTCCACGCTGTCGCTCCAGCTCCATGGAATCCATGACGGCTCCAACTCCATCCTTACCTCTCACCTTAGGAAAAAAAAGAAAAGAAAGAAAAAAATTGAGCCCAAGGGAGTCTGCTAAGAACACTTCATATGCAGGAGTGATGTTTTATATACTGAGAACCATCCTTCACGCAGTGGAGAAAAGCAGACACGGCAGAATCACGTAATCCTTGAATTACAAACAAGATTGATTTTTTTTTTTTTTTGCAGCTTCATCTGCAACTTTCAATATATTTTGCTCTCCTGAGGATCATTCCTGAAAAAGGTTGTCAGAAATCTGCGGGACTTTATGCTTCCCTGTGAATTTAACAAGATAACATACCTGAAGCTAAAAAAAGACATCCCTTCAGTCTCTGTTTCTCACAGTCATCTTTGACTACGTTAAAAGAAACATCTATCTCCCATTGTATGTTTACCATGGAAAGGGAGCAGTAAGTCGTGAAATAAGATTTGAAGTGTCCTGAAGCAGGGAGAACACTGCAGTAAAGGAGGGATCACTCTGTGTCGCCTTGCCCTCCGCTTATTTTTCAAGGGGTATCAGGAAAACCAGCAGATTTTTCAGAATTCCTCCTCCTGCTCGGCCAGAAGAGCCTCCCTGGGCCTGCCAGGCGCAGCTCCCTCACCTCACGCACCGCGCCGTGCGGACGAACGAGCCACAGCGACGCCACGATGGCACCCAGGGCGCTCAGCGCACCAAGAGCAGCCCTACCCTGGGGGTCCTCCAAAAAACCCACCTCGTGCATCTGCGCTATCCTGCCCGTATAGAACAGGATTCGCTCCGTCAACGTCGTCTTCCCCGAGTCGATGTGGGCCGAGATCCCGATGTTGCGGATCCTCTCATTGGGAAGGACTCCTGAAGAGCAGCGCCTGCAGGAGCCCAGGGCAAACTGAAAGGCCAGAGAAGGTCGCTGGTTTAGTCAGGAGCAGATCAAACACAGCTCACCATGCCGACAGAGAAACTTCCAGTCAGCTTTTCTACGGTAAATGGGTCATTTACAGCCAAAATGCCCTTTCCCAGCACCCACAGGGGCACCTCAAAGCTCTCTCGAAGAAACCAGGCAACCCCTCCACGCTCAGCTCGGCTCTGCCAGCCCCTCCTTTCAAACCCAGCCGTTATGTTCCCAGTCTACCCTTGCTTTCCCTCCTGTTCGCTTAAACTGAGCCGCTGCCCGTCCTCCTGCAGCTGAGGCGGCGCTTTCGGGCGGGCCTGTCCCTTCCCTGCCACCATCCCCTTCTCCCTCGCCTCCCCCCGCGCTTTCCCTCCCTCCCGCCGCCGCTTTGGGAACGGGGGAG